AATTAAAATATTCTGATATATATGGAATAGATTTATATGGAATAGAATATTTTATTGAGATATCTTATTATTTTTATTTCAAACTTGATATTAAAATTATGTTCTAACAACATATTAAGTATTAAAATTGTAATATTTTGACAAAAAGGGATGAAAGAAGACAACGCTACATCGAGAATAAGCTAAGCATACACACATATATAATCTATCGTTCGCTTTATCTCATGAACTTTGATCTCCAAATCTTTCTTAAACGGTCTTTCTAATCATATGCATCAGCATATGTGACCTGTGCCAATAACCTGCCATAACGGAATATTGTTATTGTAATTAGAACGATAGATTTATTAATATAATGTTTAATTTAGAACGAGCGTTTTGAAAGCACATAAATTTAAGAAATTTCAACATGAGATTAATTATATACATTTTCTTCACACTTTATAATAAATATTCTCTAAAAATTAGTATTTTGTTTTATACTTTGCATGAGAAAATTTTTTTTCTATTATGCACATATAGCTTTAGTTATTTTAAAGTTATAGATTATATATATAAAAACTAATTTTTTAAATTTTGTAATATTTAAAATATCTCACGAAATGAATGGAATATCAAGCAAAAGTTACTTAGTTGTATAAGAGATCACATTTCTGCGTTTATCGTTGCGGCTAGATGATACATGCCGGCAATTTGCTGAATTTCACAATGCCGCGCGAAATACGGTAACGAAATATCCTAAATCATAATTTAAAAAAAAAAAAAAAGATAAGCAGCTATTTATTATTTAAAATGGCGAATAAGCGACGGAGATAGAAGTATCACTATTTCTATAAATCTACGATAACTCGATTAATTTTGCAATTACACAGCACAATTTGAACATTTTCTGTGAAAATATTTAAAAATTAATTGCCTTTAAAATCTTGTACAATTAAATAATCACGCGCTAACAAAATTCACAAATTAATGTAAAACTAAATAATTAAATAATTAATCTCATAATTTTGAAAAAATAATTTCATAAAATTGTTTATATAAGCTAAAGTATATAGGAAATATCCTTAATTATTTTGATAGATAGACTTTTTTAAATTTAAAATAATACATAACGTATTTCATAAAATTAAAATTCACTACTAATATATTATTTTTTAAATACACAAATTTGCAAGTATATATACTATATTATTCACAACAATAAAAACTTGGCCATCTCTTGAAACACATTGTAAACATTTTAAAGTTTGTAATAAAAAGAATGTGACAAAATGAACTCGATATTCCTTCGCTGTCGAAAGGAGAGCGCCGTGTTGAGAAAAACTTACATGATATCTCGCGAGTACCATACTCGCGAGGAAGATTAGGATAATGGGATACGGCTGCATAGTTTGAATCTTCTACGAGATCTTCTTCACGACTGACGCGGACCAATGTCTCAATGATGATCCAACCCTGTTAGATCGTGACTCCCACTGACTCTTCTCACTTCTTCCTCTACGTCTTTTCTAGTCTCTTCTTCGGTCTCATCATAGTTGATTTCGCGAAGCGTCGCTGAGGATCATAAGAAACCATAATGCCACGAGGCGGGAGAAAGAATCGCGCTGGAAGAAGTTCTGAGAATGTGCGTCGTGATGTAAGTGCGTGCAAACGTTTGTATGTATTATGTTATCTCTTTTAGTTTCGTCTTGTCAGGGCGGATCTCATTACCATAAGATATGCACTCATGACTGTTACTGATTCGGGGTATCATCGTATTGCTGTTAGAAAAAAATGGAGAAACTGATTCCTTATATCGCCATCCTGTTTTATTTATGTAAACTACAATATAGGATGTATTAAACTTGTACACATGTTATACATGTAAAAAAGTCTTTGACAGAGATTTAAAAAATTTTCTTCAACAAAATTTTTCATCTTGCGTTATTTATAATAACACAAAGATAATTTATTTGTTATTTTTTATATTATATACAATATATTATATATTTT